AAAAACGAAAGATATTTCAACAATGGTTTGCTTTGCAGGCCTTCTCTGGAGCTTCAGCTTCCACAGCATCGGCGGCGGTGTCAGCAGGCTTGGGATTGGACTTCACTTGTTTTGGGGGCCTTTCTTTGGGCTGGGGTGGGGCTGTCGGTGGTTTCTTGGATTTGCGAAGCGCAGACGCTCTGCATGGGGTTGCAACAGCTTTAGCCTTAGGTGTTTCCTCGGAAGCTGTTGCCTTGACCGATGACTTGGATGTTTTGCCCTTTGATGTCTTGGGCACCTTCTTAAAAGACTTCAGTTTGCGAAAGGAGCGAGAACGGCGTTTGGTATTCCTCAAAGCTTTAGACGAGGATCTTGGTAGTTTTGCTGCCTTTCTCCTGGTTTTCTTTGTTTTGGATGGGAAATCCTTGGCATTCTCCTGTTTCTTCGCGGCCTTCAATGAGTTCTGCTTCACACGCTGCAGAACCTCATGAACAGTGGGCCACTTGACACGGGGAAACTTTAGCATCGCATTGATTTCCTAGCTATAGAGAATACTGCGCCTCCAACCTCCAACCCTACAACAATTATAACTGATGAAAAGGCCAAGTACAAATATAGCATCCAGTATATTGCCACAAGAAACTGGCACGCGCACAGGTTCTGCTGGTACTTCACCATCTCTCTTCTCAGGCGAGGGCACCAGGATGTTCTTGGGATCTGGTGTGTCCAGCAGGTTGAGGGTTTCGTCTTGGTCCCCAACGTACTGGGAGCAAACACCTGACCAGAAACAATTGACATTCAAACTATAATTCAAGCCTGGTTTGGCATTACGCACACACACACACACTCAAAGCAAGTCAGATGACATGCACGAGAGGACCCCCGCCTTCCTTTCCATGCACAGCGGAGGTGAAGTCTTCTGACCTTGAGTGATGGGAAAAAACATCATGATGGGGGCACAGGTGTGAAACAATTATGGGTTTTATATGTTAAAGAGCCTTTGAGTTCCAGACTTGCTTTGACCAGCTGGAGGATCAACTTGGGTCTCCTCGACCGGCTCTTCCACGCCCTCATCCGCTGAAGAATCAACCTCTACCAAGGTGTTGTCGAACCCGTCGTCGTTGTCCATGAGCGCTTGTTTGAGACATGAAATCCTGTCAGCAATTTGCTGCGTGTCCGCAGCAGCAGCCCCCCCGCAATAGCTGCCGACATACTCTTGAGTCTCCTCATGCATGTCCAAAGCATGTAGTTGACCTCTCAGTGCTTCACACCTTGCTGTAAGGTCATCCGTTGTAGTTTCGGGTCCCACATCAACCTCACCCTCAGACTCAACATCGGAGCCACCTTCGCCGTCCGAGTTGGACACGGGCCCAGGCTCTGTGACGGTGCGCACGTAGTTGTCCTGACCGGAGACACTAGATGTTGAGGAAGAATTGCAATATTGTTCCAGCAAGTGGTCCATGTGTCAAGTTTGCATGCATGGTTCAAGGGGCAACTTATGGTGCATGTACCAGCTTAGAGAATGGCATGGCAGCAGCAAAATTGAACACCCTTGGACCGGTGCGCGAACATAATCAGTCTCCTCCGGGCCAAAGAGGTTCACCAAGTCCTGCAGACCTTCGTCCTTCAGGGAAAAAGTGGCAGCGGGGTACTGGATCGTGGAGGCTATTGTATTCAGCTTAAGCTTTGATCCATGCAAACAGAATCAAACAGACTTAGTCTGGAAACCAACCACTAAGATTGGATGAAACGTTGTTTGACCACCGTGTCCCGAGGAACATGGCCACCAGTGAACTTGCTCTTGACAAACCCAATCATGTTCTTGATCCCAGTTGCCATGACATAGATTCGAGAAACCTCACCATCTTCAAAGGTAACCTTGCGAAGAGACACTTCTGTTGTTCCCTTGTATCCCTTCCACAGTGCCGCAAAGACCTTAAGCTGCTCTTCAAGCCGGTGCTTGTGGGGTAAGTTCAAAGTATTTTGGAGCCTCATCCTCTTGATCAATGGCCTCAAGAGCAGCGTGTTCATCATGCAGCTTTCAAGGTCACGGCATGCTATTGGGACATTGGGCGGGGAAGCCACCAAATCACCCAGAGTAGGATAAGCACGCCTGCGAATTTCAAGGTCATCATACCACTCGCGACCCAAGCCCAAAACCGACAAAGGAGGACCCACATTGCGCGCCATGCTGGTGAAAATCCACCACCTAAAACAGATCGATCCAAAATGCCTGCATGAAGTCTTGCTGTAGCAGCAAAGCTGGAAAAAAATGAGGCATTCCTCAAATTGCCTCACGCTTTCAAGTCGCTGTCATTGTCCCGCCTCATCCACACCATCGCGGGATCCATCCGCCGCACTCTAGATCCGAACTGTGGGAAATTCTGGCATTGTCATGTTAGAGATGGGAAAGGGTTGGGCATGATGTATCATGGTGTGCCTGCTTTTGCCCTGTTCCTTGCCACACCTTAAAGAGCTGACACTCCAAGCGTGAGCGGCAAGGCACATGCCAACACCCACCACCATGAAAAATCTGGAGTGCAGAGCGGACCTTTTTTTTATCAATACGGGCGTATACGTTCAAACCACTGTATTTTGTTTCAAGGACGGTGGATTTCATGCAAATACAGAATTCGAACTAAAAAAGGTACCAACTCTGCACTCCAGGTATATATATATATATGGCAGGTTCAGGTGCCACCCAGCCCACTCACCAACGAAGGATCCTTTTTGTGGAACCCCATGATGCCCAGGCGACAGGTGACGCCTCCCAGGCGATATCCCTTCCCAGCCCAGATGCCTGGCATCTTTTGGGAAGCTCTCGACCTTCTCGTGCCTCCTCTTCCTTAGCATCGGCGAGGCCTCTCGACCCCCCCTGGGGTATACGGAAGTTCGATGAGACAAACGAGACAGAAAGGGCACTCATGCCAATGGATCGTGCGTTCTTGAGGATCCTCAATGAGATCCAGAGCTCTTGTATGACAATTTGTATGTCTGGTAAAAGTCTTCAGACATAGAAGGCAGCACGCGGGTTCATCTTCCCCTCGATCAAGTCTTCCCAACTTCAACATGAACAAACAGACTTTGACAGACTCCATCCTCCCACAACGAATTCCCTGTATCTACAAGGATGAGCACTTCCCTCTCCATCCACTGTCCCCCCCCAAAACGAAGACAGATCGACCCGGCCAGACCGCAGGTTCCAATCCGTCTCGCCCTTCCGACCACGTCCTGTGTCGAGCGTCTTCCAGGTCTCTGCCGTCCAGTCCTCCGCCTTGCGCTTGCCTGCGGAGACGATCGGCAGTCCGGTCCCATTTTTCCGCCCCCAAAAAGACACGCCGTTTGTATTGGTTGTTGCTTGATGTTGCTTGCTGTGGTGTTTGCCATCCTGGTTTTGCCATGGTTGCCTGTTTTCTAGGCAGACAGGTGACTGTCTTGTCGGTAGGTAGCAGTTGAGCAGTTGTTGCGTGGTCTTCATCAGCCATCAATGTAAAGATTCACAAACACACTCTCTGGCTCAGCTGCGGGGCTCGCGCCTATCCAAGCCGAATGGCCAACATATGCTCTCCAAACCAAAATCACCCCTCTGACGTGTTCAAAGAAGATAGTCTTCTAGGTTGGGTTTTAGATGTTTAAGGTTTAAGCTTCTACGGGTCTCAACTCCCGTTAAATCCACAGGCAAACACTCCAGTCCAGAGCCTGTGACGGGCCAAAGGCTGTGCCCCAGAGCCAGTTGAGTCTTCTCCTGCCTTGGTCGACACCGCCATGGCCGAACCGACGCATGCAGTCTGCTCCCTCCCCCCCCCGTCCCGGCCACCCGTCTCCCACCACATCAGTGAATTCGGTCGCCAAACAAGCCAACAGATCGGGGCATCCGACCACTTCAACGGGAGCAGACCTCTAACTTAGCGCGACTTAAAAGGGGGTTCGATGTGACCCAGGAGCGAACTGATTCATCGATCAAGATGTGATGTGTTTGGGAGACATCGATCAAGGGAGCGATCAACCCTGCGATGTGTGGCCAATGAACATCGGTGTCCGTTGTATGAGTGATTTCAAATAGAAAGCTAGCAAGCTAGCAGCCGATGGAAGGCCACGGATGGAAGGCGAAACTAAGACATCTGACTTCAGGAAGAAAGCCCCTACAGCTGAAGGTGCAAGGCCAGAAGCTATGCAAACAGGATCAAACAGGAGAATTGGCTTAGAAAGTTGAAAGCTGCAGCTTCTTGGAGAGGTCCGATCGTTCGCATCTGTTTCTGCAAGACACAAAAAAAGAAGAGAGCACATGAGAGCGCATCCAATATCATCCAATCATCCCGCATTCCCTTTTGAGAGAGGGAAGCCCCACTTTTTTCACGGTCTCATGGCCCGTCCGCAGGGTTTCGTGTGTTGCGTTCCATCAGACGACTCGATCAGAAGCGAGCCACTTCCACAGAGCAAGGAAGTCCGGTTGCATCCCGAAGTCCATGGCTCAAAAGCATGAAAGTGCGACCCTTTTCTGGTGCCGATCGAACAGAAACTGTGCCATGTTTATGTTTTGAATTGTTTTGATATGTTTCTCTTGTGGAGCGGATGCGAGAGCATCATATTGATTCATCATATTGATTCATCATTTAAACCAAATAGATGGAAGAGTCTTTGAAACATGTCTTTTCAACCTGTGAACCAATCCCCCTGTGAAGCCATTGGCGCTGATCATTCAGTGTGTCTTCCGATCTGCGAAACAGATTCAGTGTTCAACCTTCGCCTGCCGGCTTGTCTGATAGTGGCAACACTGGACGTTCAAAGGCCTTCCTCAAAAAAGCTTCGAGCCAATGTTTCAGACATGTTCTGATGCATTCTGATATATTCGGATGAACAAACCCAGATCCACCCAGACTGTCGCAGACCCACAACCAAAAGCTGCGTTGGAGCACAACGATTGCATCGGTTGCTCCACCGTTTCTCCCAAACGACACCGGACGGCACCGGCAGCGGCACCGGTTCCGGCAGGAAACCGGGCGGGCTCCACTCCAGCGGGCCTTCGGATCGCCGGGACTTCTGCGGAGCGCTCGGCTGGAAGGCGGGCCTCGGGGAATGGGAGACCACCGGCACAGGTCTTGGGGTGAAGGCCCGGTGAAGGCCCAAAACTCAACGGTTTCCGGTGAATGCAGGGATGAATGATGTTCGTAGCCAGGCAATCGATGAGGCAAACCGCTTTTGCAGCCCTTTTCCCTGGAAACTTGTTGGTTCGAGCTCACCAGTTGTGGCGCAGCAAGTGCTATATGATATATGTATATTGGCGGCAAGATCTGACTTAATACAAGTCACAAGTGAGAAAGACAAAGAACATGGCCCAGTAACATGGCAGCCATGCCGTCGAGTCAATTCGAGTCAAAAGCCCAACACCTCTCCAACCACCGTTGTTGTCCTTCACCTTTGCGGAAAAAAATGCATATAGAACTTATGAACTTATATGAAACCAAGGTCCGAAAATACTGCGTTGATCAATGGGAACCACCCGTGTCTCCGCGTTCGTCTGCACCGCGTCTTAAAGGCGTCTCCGCCGGCGGGGTCTCCCCGTGTCTCCCGCCCGAAGCGTCGGGTCAGGTCGGGTCGGGTCGGACCAGTCGTCGTCGTCACCGGTCGATGTGAGTCGTCCAGGTGAACGCGAACGTGCGTCGATGACAACGGGTCATGGTCATGCAGGATGAGTCAATGAGTCATGTCGATTTTTTTCCACATCATCCATGAAGTCTCGCAAAGAACCCCTCTCGGTTCGGAGGTCTCGGAGGTCTCGGAGGTCTCGGATGTCTCGGAGTCCGACCCAGGCACCGGCGTCATGGAAAACTCCGGGGCATATCACTTTTTGAATGCTACTTTGGCGGAGAAACAAGCACAAAGGAAAGGATGAGGATCAAGCGGTCTCATGGTTCATGGTGCTTGAGAAGGAAAACAAACCATCAACATCCTGCAATGTTGATCCATTTTGTTGTACTCCTACCACACCAAATCGTCTGGTCTACCAAGAAGAAATACGTTCCTCTAAAACCTTACATTTCTCTGGCAAGTTCAACTTCTCCCGCACTTCGTGTAGTGTAGTCTCTACTCTTCTGTGTTTTCCAGAGTTAGACTCTCGAGCTCTATATTTTCCCTCTACCTTCTCCTTTTTCTATACCCTCTCCAAAAGAAAATACACTTTCTTCACAACTCACAAATCTCAATTCTGCAAAGCAAATGCAAATAAAATCTTGCATGCACCACCACTGGACTCATATCCACAGCAGCCCGGCACTCCTCCCCCGTTCTACGCAACCTAGGCACTCAAATGTCTCAGGCACATTGGATGTACCTCTTCACCTTGGCCACCACCAAACCCCCGCGCTCCCCGCGCATCCAAGACTGCGGTTACGACTCGGTGATCCCCCGGTGGACTCCTCCGGTGGACTCTCTTGGACCGCCACAGGATCTCGCTCGAGCCCGATCGAAAGCTCCCAAAGTCGGTCGCTTCCGCACCGTCCGCCGCTTCCGCCGCCGGAACCGAGCGAGACGCCTCTTCAAACCCCCCTCACCCCCCCCCGAACCGCGAAGTGCCAGGCGGCCAGCTCGGACTTGGGACCTGCACGGCGCGGAAGGACTCAGTCACGGTGCGGAAAACGAGGTCCGGGGGAGCTGAAGAGAGCCCCGGGTCGTCATGCGGTCACGGACCTTCCAACACAAGAAGTGTGAGAAACCAGTCGGAGAATGCGGTGGAGTGTCTATCGGACATGAAATACATGGTTATATCAAAAAAAATGTTTTTTTTAAATCAAAAACTCTTAAATCATCGGATGATCAGCGCGGAATGGCGGGCCGCGGGAGTCCTGTACATGCCCTCGGGGTGAGGGAGAGGAGCTGTCCCTCATCTCGACAGCGGTGCCGTGCATACCCCAAATAGGGATCGACAGCTGTAAACATGCTGAGACGATCCAAAACAAACAACAAACACGACACACCACGCTGCCATGACCGCAAACGGCAAGCAATTGAGTCATTTGACCACTTGTCAAGGATGTTCAAACAAAGACTTCATCTGCCAAGCTTCTGATGGCTGCTGGTGTCAGACAAATTGAAGTCCACAATGTGCCGATTACGACACATCAGTGCGAAAGACTAATCTCAAGTTGATATCCTCATGCTTGCCCCAGGCAGCTCTGACAAATCCACACACCTGATGCACTATCACAAAGGTTCAACTCCTATGCGCTAGCAGCAACCTTGTTATATAAGGGCAGCAGCAGGCAAGAATCTGCCAGTTCTCCGTGAAAAACAGACTCTCTTCATACATCTTCATACATCATGGCAACTTGAAACACCATTCCAGCGCGCACGTACAATGCTCCAAAAAGCAACGAGCATGAATTAACACATTGAACTAACAGGGCGTTTGCTGTCGTCATGCAAGCCTGTCAGTTAGGAAAAGGTACTTCACCTGTCACAAGGACAGGGTCAGAAAGACTAATCGATTTCACTAGCATCATGGAAAACTGGCTAAGCATCTGATCTATATGTTGCTGCAGAGAATCAGTTAAAATGAAGTGATATCCGCAATGTGCCAAAAGACACATCGGTGCGAAAGACTAATCTCAATTTGATATCCTCATTTTTCTCCGGGGCAACCAGCTTAAACAAACCCAACCACATAATGCACATACGTGGGCACACAAGCTCGACTTTGATGTAGTGGCCAGCAGCCTACAGAAGTCTTGTTCGCACATGGCGGCAAGCCGCTGTCAGTGAAAGAATTTCCTTCATACTGTCCAAAGGACACAGTCAGAAGACTAATCGAATATTCAAAGCATCATGGCAGCTTACCTCGCCTGGAGCAAGCATCAGATACCCTTTAAAATCATAATGGCAAGCATGAATCGACTCATTAAGCCGACAGGTGAGGACCAAGACCTTCGATGTGATACCTGTCGTATGCAATAACCTTCGCCAGGTCCAAAGGACTAAAAAGGACTAACTTCGGGGTGGCTTCACGAGCAACGTGGCTTCACCGTTTTCAGCTTGGACAGAATCAGCTGTGAACGAAGTGATATCCGCAATGTGCCGAAAGACACATCAGTGCGAAAGACTAATCTCAGTTTGATATCCTCACGTTTGCCCAAGACACTCAGCAACGGGCAATCCGGTCATTGCTAAAGCTATGCAAGCCGCTAGTGACAAACGGTCTGTCCATCGTGCGACAACGACATCAAACGTTAGAAGCATAACAGCAAATTGCCGCCCCTGCCACAAGCATAGCGCATATCCGAGATAATATGACAAGCATGATGCAACTCACTCAATAGCCATCAGTTCAACAAAGTACTTCACCTGCCACATGGACAGGGTCAGAAAGACTAATCGATTTCACTAGCATCATGGAAAACTGGCTAAGCATCTGATCTATATGTTGCTGCAGAGAATCAGTTAAAATGAAGTGATATCCGCAATGTGCCAAAAGACACATCGGTGCGAAAGACTAATCTCAATGTGATATCCTCATTTTTCTCCGGGGCAACCAGCTTAAACAAACCCAACCACATAATGCACATACGTGGGCACACAAGCTCGACTTTGATGTAGCGGCCAGCAGCCTACAGAAGTCTTGTTCGCACATGGCGGCAAGCCGCTGTCAGTGAAAGAATTTCCTTCATACTGTCCAAAGGACACGGTCAGAAGACTAATCGAATATTCAAAGCATCATGGCAGCTTTCCTCGCCTGGAGCAAGCATCAGATACCCTCTAAAATCCTAATGGCAAGCATAAATCACCAACAGCCATCAGTTAAAAGAGTACTTCATCTGCCACAACGACAGGGTCAGAAAGACTAATCGAATTGTACTAGCATCATCTGAGGCCGAGTTAGTGTTTTGCCGGCCGTGTCAGCTGACTGACCCAGTGAAGGTGCTGACTGACCCATGCTACCATGCTGCAATCTGCAGCAAATCCATGCTGCTTCAAGTGGAGTTGGACAGCCTCTCTGGTGCCGCGTTGGGGATACAGGATTGGTTGGAAAGGTGCAAGGAAGTAGTAGGCCAGTTTGGGCGCTGGGAGCAAGTATATGAGACCCGACTGAGCCTTGTTGACACCTTGGAGCAAACTACCAGCTACCATCAGTGGAACCAATGGAGACTTCATTTTTGTCACAAAGGACAGCTTCAGAACACTTCG